TGTGCGGGATGACCGAATCGCAGCAGGAGCGCTATACAATGCATAAAAAGAGCTCAACTTTTTACAGAGCACTACCGAATGTTCTTAGGATGCGTCGTGTCGTTTTCATTTGTTTTGCTAAAAAGATGATGGAAATGTATCAGACTCGCTCAAAACAAAATATTTTTTTTTTTTTTGACGAAAACGAAGATGCAGAAACGTTCTTTTTCTTGACAAACCATTGTAAAAAATGAAATAAAGTAAAATACAAACATATATAAATACACTTGGTCGAGTGAGCAAAAATGAAAAGCGTAAAAAGAGCAAACATTCGATGAAATGAATTCGGTTTCTCTTCAAAAATACAAATAAATCCTTTAATTAAAAAAAAACTCAAGGATTTAAATGGGGAACATTTTAAGTGTGTTTACTTATATAATTTGGTTGATTTAAAATTTATTCCATAAACATTAGATATTTTTCTGCACTTTTTTTCATATTTGCTTCCGCTTTGAATCACCTTAGAAGTCAGGCGAAATAGTATAAAAGAATCGAATTGAGAGAAACACTTTTAAAAGAAGAAAATTTTACATTGAAACAGAAAATGATTTCGAAAAAGACTTTTTTCTGCTCTCAACAACTGCGCTCGTTCATTGATTCAGGTCCATCGATATTGGATGCGAGACGAGGAAATGAGTTTTGTGACTATGATGTTTGATTTGTTGTTTTTGATTATTTTTTTTTTCTCTTCGGTATTGTTGAAGGTATCGGATGCATTCTCCGAAGCCAATCGTTACAACAACAAAAAAACACAAACCAAAAACGAAAAAAACAGTTGGTCGGTGGCATTGCCACATTCAATCATTTTCTATTCTTCGTCTCGGAAGCAAAATTCACTGAAGATAAATAATGCAACATTTTTTTTTTGTTCATTCTCTCTTTTCCATTTCTTTTGATTATTATTGATATAATTCCAACGAATGTTGCATTCAAGGTGGCAAAACTTCGCTTTATGTCACGTGTTGCGTGGAAATTACTTGAAAACACATAATAAAGTGAAATACGCTGCACACTTCATTTGAATGAACATGCGGTTCGTTTTCACTTTTTCTTGTGGTTTTTACACTTTTACTTTGATTCATTTGTCAGAAATTTTCGGAAGAGGAAAGAAAGAAAATAAAAGGAAGATTTGGTATATGACATAAGGTGTTTCACCGATAACGATCAATTTAACTCACGCCAAATGTTGAAGTACAAAGGGTTGCTCATATGAACGAAATTTTCACTTTCTTTTGTGAAGTGAGAGAAAAAAAACCAACCCGAAGGGATTTTCAAATCAAACTTTTTTCGTTTTCATTTTAAAACAAAATTGATTGATACCCTACTTGTCCTCGGCGCTCTCTTCCTCTCTACAATTAAAGCAACAACAAGTTGTCGCAAACTTAAAAATGAAATGGATGTCGAACATTCAAATCCCAAAAGATTTGCGTATCTGTTCATATCGAATATTTAAATAGTTTTTTTTTTGCTCCCATTACATGAGATATTGTCTGAAATCCAGACTCTGAATTGTATCGAACGGAAAGTACATTGTTGAAAAGAAAGTCGCACTCATGCTAACACACGCACAAAAATGGAAAATTCAATTCGGGGTGATGGTTGGTGTAAATGAAAGTGAAAAATGTGTCAGTTCCATGCACCATGCCGTGTGAATGCTCGCTGTTCGAAGGAGACAGACTTTTCTCATGTTGACAGAAATGGCAAATTTAAATATGACAGTGTGACAAGAATATATATTGAAAGAACAGCCCTTGACTGTTTAGTATTATTTTCTGTGTGTGCGAATGTTACTTGAAGGTCATTTTCGATGAAACGAATAATTAAACAGTAAATCGAATTTTGTGCAGCGTTACTATACTGTTGAAATACCAATGCAATCATACAACCATATTGTTATTCAATCATACGACATTCACATTCATTTATTCGGAAAATCATATTTTTTCAGTATTTTCCATAATTTTTAATCGATTCAATTCAATCCCTCGATAGAAACGTATTGATTTTCACTTCGATCACCTTCGAATGTCAAGCCATTCTAAACGAAAGATCCGAATAAAGGTGCGTACGTTCCCGATTTAAGCATATGTGAATGCGTATTTAAATGAGCGAAAATACAGCATTGGTTTGTTGTTGTTGTACCTATGTCAGCGTGATTGAATCTATTCATTGGTCAAAATGTTGTTATTGCCACCAACGGTCATCGAAATGTGTAAAATGTGTATTCAATTCCATTGCAGGGGTATTTATCACTCCATTTTTTTCCCTTTCGTGTTAAAACGGTGTTGTTATTGTTGCATTCAATAGAATCGAAAAAATATTCCGGTGCATTGTTGAGCAAGAGTTTGGATAACAATGGCTAACATCGAAAAATTCAAAACCCGATTCAAAGTTTTCCGTTTCTATATATCTCTTTCGTATTCAGTTTCTTAAATGTGCAGCAGTGTGCTTGCGTTGTGAAAACGGCATTTGTTTGAATTTCAAATTTTATTTTCCTTAGGCACGGAACAATTGCAAGGCAGATTTGAATGTGTCGGGTTGCGTATCTGTTGCCTTTTGTTGAGAATTTCGGACGAGTGAGAAAAAAAAAAACATAAATAGAAGAAAAGAAGGAACAGAAAATGCGATTCTTTCGTCTCACAAGTCGATGAGAATAGAGGCAAAAATATCCGAAATGATATTCAATCAGTTATAGAACAATTTTTGCTTCTTCTTCTCTCTTTTATAAGGTCCTTTTGTTGGCCGATCGGTCAGACAATGGTTCACTTTCTTATACACTGTGATTCTTCTTATATATTTTTTTCGCAAACACGGATACTCAACGAGACACAGAGAAAGAAAAAGAAGAAGAATGTTTCAGAGATTATATAAAATTATTATTATTTGTATAATAGCAAACAAAATAGACAACACTTTTTGGATGAATGCGTGTGATTGAGTACTTTTTTTTAAAGAAAAAAAAATGAGTGTTCACATCAATAGCAATAATAGTAATCATTTGGATTGAATGGAGAAGAAGAAAGGGCTACCATGGCTTTCGGTCTTATATGCCGAGATTCGGTCCGTAAAAGAATCAACATTTCCATCAATAAATGATATAAATTAAACTTTAATCTTTTTTCAAATAATAAATAATTGCAATTCTTTTCAAAATGCCTTTCGTGCATGCATGTATGGATGTTTTGCGGATGAGTAATGCATGTGGATTAAGTTTATGTGAAGGTTATATATGAGTGGTGCAAATATGAATGCCATTAGTTTGTCTATGATTCAATTTTTTCGACCGTTTTGATGTTTAATAAATGGATTTTACTCGAAGCTAATACCAATCGTAGCAGTTCAAACAGATTCACCGATTTGTCTTGTCAATAAAATGTGCGCTCTACCAAATCAATACAACTCACTCACTTTCTCTCCCACTCTCAATCTTTTGCTCGATCTTCTTGTGCCCCCTTTTCGCCTACGCTTCCGTTTCACAGTTTGATTGATTTTAGCTCTTTTTATTTCGAATCGAAAAAACAAAACGACGAAAAACCGATAGGCATCGATAACAAACGAACGGTAGTGATGACCGGAAATTATTGATTCAATTCTGACAATGCACAGGCGAAATTGAAAAAGAGAAGAAAAAAAAAATCATAAAAACAAAAATGATATGTTTGTTCAGCGTGCAATATATTTTTTTATCAATCCATTTTGTGTACCCCATTTCTCTTTATTAGTCAATTTCATCGTGATGGGCATCGGTCGTAGTATTTAAGTGATGCTTTTTACTTTTTTAAATGCATACTGTAAATTGAATTCTGTCCCTCACTAGTGTCTGGAAGAGACACAATCAGAAAACGGATCATTTCGCTAGTTAGAATTTCAAACAATTCAAATTTCAACGACACCTACACACCAGTACACGCTAGTATTTTATTTATTTTGTTTTTTTTTTTTTGCAATGGTCGGTGTGCGACGCGAAAGGTTCGTTGTCTTTAATTTTTGTGCAAGCTATTGTTTAAGGAACTTATATACCATTTGCAGAGATTTTTCGCCATTGGAAAAATCTCATGTCGGGGGCAATTTTTTTTTAAATATGATTTGACGCAATATTTATTACAAATATTATACTATGTTGATACAACTAATAATTTTCATTGTCTGGCTGTACATGATTTTTATTGATTTGTTCATCGTCTATATTTATACAACGAACTGGCATTTCAATTGATTCTTCGTCCAATTTCAAATGTTTTTACCGTCATTTTCCTTTTCATTCGATTTTATTGAACTTAACAATTTTTATAGCGTTTGGCAAACGAACAGAAGTAGGAATGGAAAAATACAAATGAGTTCAATGCTTCATGCAAAAGAAAGTTGTCAAAAGCAAAAGAAAATCAATTGAAAAAATATGATAGTTGCAAAGTTTGGTGAAATAAAAGCATTAGATATGATTTTAAGTTGAAAGGCCGATAGATTGTTCGAAAATTCGTTTTCGTGAAATCTTCCGGCATTCATTTTCAATTTATTGAGTTGATAATTTCAATTATTCGATTTTATAATCAATTGGTTGTTAGAGATTTATCGAACTCAGCCCAAGAAACGAAAACCCATTGAAAATGAGAGAAATTATCGTTTAATGAATGGCAGAAGCTAAATTGTTGAAAAGTTGAAAAGCAAAGAAATGGTAAAACCAAAAATTGTGGATGAAAATAAAAATAAATGTCAAGATTTAATTTTTTGGATCAATTTCAATTTTATTTCATATTTTTTTTCTTTTTTTTTGTTTTTTTTTTTTTTTTTTTTTTTTTTTGACATAAATTATGAAATTTACTTCCATTTCGAGGATGAACGACGAATGAAAAAGAAGATAAATAATAAAATTAATTAAAAAAACAATACCTAGTTAACACAAAAAAGTACTTTCATGCAAATGATTTCTTTTCTATTATTCACATCGACATTTTATAATTGTATACGACTAAGACCATATTTACATTTATTTAAAATAATTTTAGAACCTAATTTCTCTACTTCGATACATCTATGGCATTTTTATGTGGTATTTGTTTTTATTCAAGTTTAAATCTTAAATTCAATTGATTTGCAGTGTCAGTTTATGATGTGTGAGTGCGTGTGTATAAATATATGTTCTTACATTTATCTTAATGCATAAAGTATTCCCTGATATTTTGATCAGTACAGATGAGTGTGTATGTTGTGTGTCAGAATTTCTTTAGGTTACCTTTTTTTCGCACACAAAACTGTGTGTACTTTAAACTACCCATTTTGTATTTCACCACAACAATCGCATTCCAAGTGTTCAATAGAAATCAAAGAATGCAACAGAAAATTTTACAAGAAAAAAACTCATAATAATTTACATTTAAATAAAATTACTTAAAATAAAAGCTCACATTAAAATCAAACTTAAAATGTAAACAAATAAATTTTGATTGTTTGGTGTACTCAGACTTAACCACAGATATTGGGGTTAAATAGCCTCTCGCGACCATTTGTTCTTTTTTTTCACGTTAAATTTTGTTTAACTTAACACCTATTGAAAATGCGACATAACAAACGCCTGAGAAAGAAAAATAATTTAAAACGAAAAAACAAATGTAACAATTCATATTAACTAAATTGAATGGCGAAATCAATTAACAAATTGAACTTAAATGACACATATCTATGAAAGAAAGCGAAGAAACGATTCTTGCCTTTTACATCAATTTTTTTTTGGCTCAAAAACACAGCTAAAATGGTGAAATTGTGATTTTTCTCTATCTTCTTAAAGAGAACAAAATACATATACCTTTGACATGTGGAAATTAAAACGATTTATTCAGTCAAATACTCGTTATGTGATGGAAATGCTTCAGATCATTCAAAATTGGTGGATTTTTGTAAATGTTGCTTTCGATTCAATGATTCGGCATCGTCTAAATCATCCAAATCTTCTTCGCTAAGCAACGGTGATTCGGATCGTGGTGAATGCATGCTAAGATCTTCTGGTTCGATTTGTTCCGATGCTGGTGATGTTTCAATGGTTTCATCATCTTCTTCCTTTGGCATACGTAAAATGTGACGTGGATCATTCGATTTCCGTGTATTTCGTTTTTCGCTACTTTCCGAATTCGATTCAACGCTTAAATCAAGCGGCATTTCATGGCCCGAATTTTCAATGATCGTCGATAATGTACTCTCATAAATCTGTTGCAATGCTTGACTTTGTTTCAATTTAAAATGCTTGAGTAATGCTGCATTTGATGTGCTCAAATCTAATGATCGTTCACTAGTTTCGGATCGTGATGCAATCGATTTATTTTCCAATGAAATGACTGGCGATGTGGCCGGTGTTAATGGTGCATTTGCACATTTATGATTTACCAAATGATGATTGCGTCGAAAGCTGGCACTGCATGTTTCGCAACGATATGGTTTTTCATCTTTATGAATTATCATGTGTGCTTTGAGTTGATTTGAATCGGAATATTTGGTATTGCATTGTTCACATCTGTATGGTTTTTCACCAGTATGCACACGTAAATGACGTCGCAAATTGGCCACTTGAACAAATTGTTTGTCACAATATTTGCAATGATACGGCTTCTCACCGGTATGTAGACGCATATGGGTCTTTAAATGATGATCACGTGTGAATCGCTTATCGCATTCAGGGCATGCAAATGGTTTTTCACCGGTGTGAGTGCGTTCATGATTTTGTAGTACATGTTTGTAGCCAAATGATCGGTTACATGTTTGGCATGTGAACGATTTATCACGGGTTGGCTCTTTGTTCGGTGTACTGCGAATTGATGTGGATGATGGTGATTGATGTTCCATCGAACCAATTGACTGTGGTGATGAACCAGATGTTGGTGGACTTATTGGACCTGGACTCACTGTACGACCCATTGTTGGTGACGCTTCCAAATTATTGTACGGTTGATATAACATTTGATTACTTCGTTTCTTCTTTAAGCTGTTAGTTTTTCGAAGTTTTTTTGTTGATGATTTGCTCGAGTCTAAATCATTTACACCAATGTTATCAAAATTTAGCTCATAGTTATTGACCTCATCGGTGGAGGTAGTGACGATATTATTGTTGCTATTTATTTTCTTAACACTTTTCACGCTCAATGTCGGTGAAATCGGAGAAATTGGCGGTGAATTGACGATTGGTGGCAATTGCCATGGGATCAACGAATGCGGATAGAAATTTGATGTTGATGAATTTAAACGGGCCGCTAACAGAGCAGCCGTTTGATTGGCAGCAAACATTTGTGGTGTTAACATATTGATGGGTGAACCAGTTGCTGCACTGAATAGACCAGCGTATAGATTTGTTGCTTCAGGTGGCAATGTAGCGGCAGCTAGTGACGATGGAGATATTGGCGAACCATGCTTTAATTCATCCTGTTTCATGTTGGCCAAAATATTTGCTTGGAGAGCTGCTAAACCTATGGAAATGGAAGAAATATGAAAAAAAGGGAAATTTAGTTGAAATTCGGGCGTAAACTTGGAATGTATTAAAATTAAGGGAACACGTTTGAAAATTACAAAAAATAACTTTTCTTTGGACACAAAGCAATGTATGAAAAAGAGAAACGGAATTGTTCTTCGTTACAAAGTGAATTCTTGTATTCCGGAAACATATCATTCCCTTACTATAAAATACACAAACAAAAAAACAAGGAGTTTTTTTTGTTCATCGTTTTTTTAAAGACTCATCTTATGAAGGGAAGAAGAAATGAAATATACGCGCATTCGATCCCTATTGAGTTACGGTGATTTCCTTGCGAACGGTAAACTGCACTTAGATTCGAAGCATGAAGGCACGTGTTTTATACCGAAGAAAGAGTCAGTTCAACAGAAATGAAAAAGATGTTATTTGTCAAATGTGAGATATCTTAAATGAAGTAGACGGTATTGCCAAAGGTCAAATGCCTATTAAAATTGTATTTATTTATTTTGTGTATTTTTTTTTTGCTCATTTCATCGAATGCAATGCGATTGGATTAAAGTTCAACGTGAAGTCAACTGCAAAGACTTATTTCGTCGAACCTGCACTGTCAACAATCCATTTCATGCTTTAAACATGAAATATTCGTTACCGTCGGGAGAAAACATATACACATAAAGCATCAGTAAACTTCGTTTCGCCGATAATAAATATTTGCACTTTTAATATTGATATGAACTAGATAGGAAGTACAACTGAAAATATGACTGTATGACTGACGTTTGAAACATTATTTATACAAGTAATTTGATTGATAAATTCTCTTTCTATCTCTCTCTCTCGCCTCCTTCTCGTTCATCATTGAACAATAATTGACCCATTGTCGTTGGAATGAAATATAGCATCAGCGATCAAATTAAATGATAGATGAAATATTTCCAAAAAAAGATCAAGAATATACCGTCAAAACAATTCATTAAGCAATATTATTTACACGAGAAATGTTTGAGTTCGAGACACTCGAGCCAAGAAGAAATCCTTTTCTTTTAATAAATCCATCCGCATTAGAGCCTTCGCAAAAAAAAAACACATTACAAGTGAGTAAAATGCGTAAATTATTTGTGTTATCCATGACGAAATCAACTTCACCTGCCTTCAGTGTGAAATGAATCATATTATCGATTACAATTTGTTGGCAGAAAAATATCCGTTGCGTTGATTCACATACGATAATTTTCCACGAAATAAAGCGTAATTTATCTGAGCGGAAAAAAAAATCTTTCGGCACTTTTTCCGATTACACTCAGCATATTCTCGACTTGAGTTACATTGTTTAGAGAAAACGTAACGTTAGTCTACGCAAATCTTGTCGTAAACGCAACACATTTTGCTTTTTTTTGTGATATGTGAGAGAGTGTAGTGTGTGAGTGTGCATGTTTTTTTATTCATTTTTGTGTATTGTTCCATCAGATGTGCCGGTTAGTTCAGTTGTCGGCATTAAAACACGAGCGCATTCTCTTATTATGTAAGATGAAAAGGCAACACAAAAATACACATCGCGAATGCTTTTATGTACATATTAATATCACTCATGATGTGTGCGAACAGTGAATGGAAGAGATGGGGTAAAGCCCGCAGCATCCACATGCAAAGAGTAAACAATAATACGGAAAATATATATATATATTGGTTGTACACACGTTTATCGAAATGAATGGATGAGTTCAGTACTACAACTCCTAGCAGCAGTGACAGCAGCAACAGCATCGTCACCATCATTATCATCGCATAGAGTGCGGTATCAACACCAATTTTATGCGAGAGCATATATTTCGCATATGGATACGTGAAAAGTTATGTATTTGCCTTGTATATGTATTATGCAAACCCGACCGAAAATGAAAGTGGTGTATTTGCTCGTCGCCGTCTACATTCATCTTCATTCTCGATTCGGCGGATGTATGTATATGTGTATGCTATTTTTTTTGTTATGTTATCGGTCGTCGCGACATTAGAATTACTATCGTCTGCTGTCTGTACATATGTATATTTGGCCAGAGAATATATGTGTTTAGTTCAAAATCTACGCGATATAGCGGGTATTTTGGTAAACCTTTTTTCTGTTTATGTTTGAGCATGACATGTGTACCATTTTGTCGCATATTTCGCAATAAAAATACACAAAAATGTAAACATACGTATGGTTTTGTGCGCCCCCAACAATAATTATACTACAAACACCATACCAAACCATTTACATTGTCACACAACATTCAGATGTTGGGTATTGATAGGCAGAAATTCGATTCAAAATATAAGCCAAGTGATCTATATTGATTTGCATTGCTTTCTCGTACCGAAACGAGTTTAATGACAACAATTGAATAATCTAAAAATGAAACCACACAAAAAATATGTTTTTTTTTTCTGGCGTAAGTTATGACTCGTAACGGATCGCTCACGAGCGGTTTCATTATGCAAAGATTTTTTATTTTTATTTTGCTTCCGCAGAAGTATTTTACGGAAAATGCATTCATCATATGGAGACTATGTGTATTTTATCATGTTCATGTTATCTTACAGCATTAGGAACATTGACCGCATAAACCAGTTATTCCAAAATATATCACTGACATCCGTTTAAAGCAAATGTGGTTATTCGAATTCAATATTATCATTATCACATAACCGCATGGGTTAACTCTTTTTATCTTTTTATTCATGCTATAGAGCAACTAAACTTGACACAAAAAAAAAAAAGAAAAAACAGTTTTATTTACAGATTACATTATGGGAATTCTTTTCGGCATAATAATTGGACAATAGCGACAAATCGTTTGATCTTTTTTTTAAATATCGCAAATTATGGAAGCTACAAAGAAACAATGACATATACAAAATGAAATTCCACAAAAAAAGAACAAAAAATTTGAATAGTGTTAAAATTCGACTAGAAATTGTAAAAGATAACATATAAATAATGATTTCAAAATTACATTCATTTTTCGAAAAGAAATGTCGTGTTCTCCCTGCGTAATGTTGCAGCAAAAGATTTATGGTATTTTCGTATGCATGATAATATTGCTAAACATTTTGTTGATTCCCTGTTATCTTTCATTAAATTTTCGAGTGAAAGATGTGATTCTTATTAAAGCATCCGCATTTCGCCAACGCATTTTGCTATATTCACCCCCCGTTCGCTCAATCTGATTATCTGTGCATATCTCTTTCATTCTCTATTATTGAAAATGAATTCGAAGCGTTGTGTCGACTTTTTTCATCTACCTTGTGCGCAACTTGATAATAACATTCGCTTTCTCTCTCTCTCTTGATTGAAGAAGCAACATTATAAATTATATGCCAAGTGTTGCATTGCATGAAAAGAGATTAACAAAATGACATAGCTACTGAAAGAGAAAGCAAGAGAGAGAGAGGGAGAGAAAGCGGGCCCATTCGAAAATAAATCGTGAAATGAATATATGGCGTTCAATCAAACAACCCTAATTTAACTTTCCATTTGCGATGGCTTCGTACATACTCCTGATATCGGTTGTCGCGAAGTGACAAAAATATAGAATCACGGTGCCATTTCTGACTCTATTCGGTTGCTTCTTGTTAATTCTTAACACACAGGTGGAGCGGTACGTTGCGTTCTCGAAGGTTTTTTTTTGCATCAATTCTTGCGTGCGATACGTGTCATTTTATTAATCATGAAAAAGTCACCAAGTCGAAGTAGGACGAACGAATCAACAATATTACTCGAATATTATTTTTAATGACATGACAGTGGTGTACGAAGGCGATCGAGCACGATGTACGAAAAAAAAAATTGCGTGTAACAAAGAAAATCCTCAATAAATAAAAATGATGATGTTCGCATGCAATTTTAGCGCTAGAAAAAATGTCGAATTTCGCATAAAATGACACAAAATATCATTCACTGTATAATTGTGTGTTTTACATTGGAATTTAGATACATACGACGAACTCATTGTGAGACACACGTAAAAGAAATGATAATGAGCCAAAATAACGAAAAAACGCGTACGTTACAATTGTGTAAGATAAACAAATGAAATGATAATGACATCAAAAATGATGTCACAATTCATCGAGAGATTGTTGGTGGCAGATAGATAGGGAGAAATCGTGAAAATTACAAATCAAATGGAATCAATATATGATAAAATCACGTGATTTTGACATTTTCATTCGAAACAAAACAATTGAAATGATGTATTGCTATTGATGTCTTTCTCACATTCGAAGCAACGCATTTGAATGAAAGAAAATCGATCAAAAAATTATTGCAAGCGATTAACTTAAATAGACACGACATTATACATCTCGCAGCAATATGAATAATGAAGAATGACGTACAGGAGTACAAGCCGCCAGAGAGTAAAAAAAAAACAAAGCACTTTTCGTTAAGCAGTTTCTGGTTTTTGGTACAGATCTCTTCCCTCATCGACTCTTGTTACATATGCTTATTTATATTGTTTTCGCACGAAAATTCCTGCTTTTTTTTATTCATTGTTGTCATCATATTTTTTTTCACTGTCGTATTCTGGCATTTTCGATGCTCCGTAATATATTTGTCTTTTTTTTTTCAAATTTAATAACCGTTTTTTTGTGAATTTAAAGCCATTGCCAACTCATATATCCATCTAGTTGCGTTTTTGCATGCATAAGCCATTTTAATTCATTCGCAATTGAAACCAATTCAAGAAACGTGAACGATGTTCATTAAAATAAACAATTCAAGTGCGCTGAATGAACGTAGTGAAAAGTATGTGGCTCATTTGCCAATTTCGTCTCGATTTGAATGGATTTTTGTTGTTACGTCGATAACCTTTTTTACAATCACAAAAGAAGATTACGCAATTTTCGTATTCGGAAATGAGAATTAAGTCGTTCTAAGAACGGTAAGGGAAAAAGTATTTTCATTAAAATTGAGATTCTCTCAAGAATAATAGTATTTGCTGTTTGTTTTCGGGCGAAGTGACGTTCGATTGAAATGTATTTCCCTTTTTAAAGCATAAACAGCCATGAAATATAAGCTGTTCCGCCAAAGAATTTTATTCAATTAATAGGCGTGTTAAGTGGAGCCCGGTCAAGCGTATCGAACAAAAAAACAAAACCTGCCCGATTGTAACGACAGTATATGTATTTTCGATTTAAACAACTTCAAATTGTGTATTGTCTAATACTCTTTATCTATATAAACTTTCGTGCTGTTCAAAATGAATTAACCGCGTTCCGTTTTTTTTATTCTATTTTAAAATTCAGTGTTCTAGTTCAAAGTATGGTTAATTGATGGATTTGTATCTAGAGTAATTCCCATGCCATCATTTTTCGTATCAAGCCCCATCTTTTTCAAAAGATGGATTCACTCATGTGTCGGTTGAAAGAGCATAATTAAATTCATGTTTATATTTGCATTTGAAATTCAATCCCCATAATTTCGATAGTGTGCGTAGCTAACATTTTTTGAAAGACAACAAATTTCCTTTTCATAAATTATAAATTCAACGAGAATGAGGTAAGAAATGTGGCGACGTCGTACGAGTGAAAAATGAAGAAGAAAGAAAAAAAAAACAAACATGACGATAAATTGTCATTGAAAATGATTAAAATAAAAGTGAAAGACACACCCACCACCAAGTAGAGCTACATCATGACATTATAAGCAGAAGTTGGGGAAACAGCGATTTTTGTTTTGTTAAATTACAATAATAATGAATTCATCGAGTCAATTAAAATGACGACGACGACAACGACATCAATCGCGGAGCAATGGCGATAAATGTAAAGACAACGAGTAAAAACTGTATCAAACGAAAAAAGAAGCAGCAACTCGTACGCACATACAAAGAGAAAAAGTTTCGTACGCGTTTAATGAAAACTGAAAAAGGAACAAAACGAACGAAAACAAAAACCCACCAGAGAATAATCATTTCGGAGACAAAGACTCGTATAGAGAGGGGAGAGAGAGAGAGAGAGAAAGTGTATCGAGTGAGAATGAGCCGCACAACGGCGACTATGAGATACAGAAGGAAGGAGTCGGCGAACGAAGGCATTATGCACCGAAAACTGATACAAATGGCATCGAACGGAAGGAAAGTATGAGCAATGAACGCGAAAAAAGGGGCTTGATTAAATTACTTTGCCAGCTGAAATTCATTTTATACTCATTGTTCTCATTGTCCGCCCGTTGCTTCTTGGCTGTGCGCGTGTTTGTGTGTGTGTGGGTGAACGAATGACTGAGTGAGTGAGAGCTCAAACGTGGTCTCTCGCGCGCGTTCGTTTCTTTTGTTTTTGTTTAATGTTTTTGTACTTCGCGCATAATTGGTAGTTGCTTATACCGTTGTTTTTATGCGTTTCGCTTTTGATATTAGGCTGATGAAAGTACTTCTCTCCCCTTTCACCAAAAAAATACACACCAAACGCGTACAAGCAAAATGCTTGAATTCCTGTTTCCATCGCTTGCGCTTATGCGGGCACATTTATCATGCTTTTCATACCAAAATGGCATTTTGTATTTCGCATAATTTTGAGCTAATGCAGTGAATAGGGAGCTGAATGAACGCGACACAGAAACAGATTCATTTTTTATATATGTGTGTACGCGTCATTGTCGTCGTTGTCGTCGTTGTCGTCGTCGCCGTTACTGTTTTTGGTTAAAAATTAATTATCGTGTAATTACTTTGCGCGCGCACACTCTTGCTCGCTCACTTTAACGCGCGCCACCACCATCGTACACCGCCGCCATCATAATGAATTCGGTGGAACGGTATAATTTTCCATGTATTCCTGTGACGCTCATTCTTATCGTTTGCTTAACCTTCAGCCAAAATAATCGGCGATTGGTTTCCTATCTGGTGGTACCAATAATTTGTATTTGGACACACATTAGAAATATTCAAATCGTCTTATCACATCGAAGATGAGCAATTTGCATTTAAAAGCCAATTATGTCACTTTAATTGATGCTTGCATAAACGGTATCAGTTTCAATTATATTTTTATAAAAAATCTTCATCTATTCTACTTTAGTTTTAAAATTAAATTCATATAAAATATATAGATATAATATAATTCATTTGCTACAGTTTTTGGGTCAAGTGAAGCTTGCTGCATCTTATTTACTGCTTGCAAGTTGAAATTAAAATGTTTCCGAAAAAACAGTGGGTAATGCAACAATTTTATACAGCAAAGAAATGAATGCATATTTATGTATTTATATGCATTTTTTTCTTCGTACTTTTTAACTAAATTATACTGAATAAAGCCCATTCTGACGAGTTAGATTGTCATAATACTGGCGGTGGTGTTGTTTGAAAGTAAGTCATTATGATGCACATCGAGAAATTATTGTAGTGCCCATTATAATGTACATTGATGGTTTTAAGCATTCTTTTTTGGTGTACTTTCTTCAGTTCTATACCGTTATATACGTTTATTCATGACTACATAATCGAAGAAAGTTTGCATGAAGAGAATGAAAAGAACCATGCTAATTTTACGGATTACTAGATGATGTTTTGACTATTTCATTTCGTAAAATCGTGTACAATCACAAGTTTTTCAAACTACAAACACCAATGTCATGGCATCCTAGAGTCAATTTTTGACTCTAGAAAAAATACGTTTTATTATCGTTTCATTACTCTGATTTCTGTATTGCTTACGTGAACCGTCCTAAAAGTTCATATTAAAACAAATATTTGAATCTTAAAGAGAATGGGATTCTTGCTTGTAAGGACAACTTCTGAAAGATTTCAGCGTTTTTACAGTTTACCAAATAAACAATTTTATTTTCTCAGACATTGGACAAATACGATGAAAAAATTCGCATGAATTATATTTGATGATTTTAGTTGAAGTTCAGGAGTAGTAGTTTAGCATCCAACCATTTGTTTCGGATAAAACCCCTGTGCTAATTAATTCAGTGGCTTATTACAAGGTAATATCCATTGTAATAATTGAATTTGTGAAAAAAACGTTTCTTACTCTTTTTTTTTTAAATAAAAATGAATGCGATTCAGTGATCATTGGAATGAAGTTAAATCGGAGTTGGTGTTTGAAATTTCAGTGAATATTTTTGTTGTTATTGTATTCATCGTGAATTGGGGGTTGAGAAAAATTCTACTTACTTTGTGCAGTTTGTGCGTTTTGTAAAAAACTAAGAGCTGACATTGACATCTTGAAGGGTTTTTATTTCTTCTAATTTATCTTGTCTTTAGGCCAAATGGATTCGTTGTGGAGTGGGTGGATACCCTTGGAACGCCAATTCACTTCTTTCACCGTTAAATGTTCATCAAACCAGGAGCAAAAAGAATTTATTCACAAACTAAGCTTTACCGAACAGGATATTTTAAATTGAAATGTTATGTCGTATTTTCTCAAACAAAAAAAAAATAATGTTTAAAATCACTTCGAATTCATGGTGTTGACTTTTATGCTGAATAAATGAAAATTCATTTAAATGGTCTCTTTAAATGTTCGTTTATAAACTTTAAATAATTAATTTTTGCAATTTAAGCTACACTTTGGTTTTAATTTAAGCGTTTTTTTGTCCTCGCCTATTAACTTGTACACTTTTTGTACTCAAATGAAATGTTTGCCAATCAAAGTTGCGCCAATTTCATCGTTGTGCTTGAAATCCAATAGAATAGAGTTTTAAAATAATTTCGTTGCAACTGAGAGATGAAGCGCAGACGAGAAAAAAAAAGTGATACATATGGAGTTAACTAAATCAACGTTGAAACACGACTGAATCATTTTTCAAATCCGCACCTACTAATATGCTACGTTCTGCGGCAACATGCTATCCTTCGTTTGTACAACATGTACACATTATGCACAGCAAAAACAACAACAAACGGTTGTGTGCTCTTTCGCTCCTCCATACTTTAGTCAGTGTGTAAACCATACATACGACGAATGCACGCACACACCCACCCATACGTATGTACATAGGTGCACGCACATCGTTGAAACACAACGACCGAAGTATGTAACCAATGTACGCAGCCGAAGCATGTCACGCACAGAGTCACTGTGTGGCAAATACCAAGAAATGCTCGCTTACTCTTTTTCTCGCGCTATTGCTCGCCTGCTGCTATCTCTCTATTAACACGGCTTCAATCTATATATCTGAAATATATGGCAACAGCACTAAAGGGAATCAACGACACACAATCAGCATCACAGTAGCACAGCAAATCGGTGTCACTTTCTGAGTGCGCTTTCCGTCCCGCACAGTATATACATCGTAGTTGCGTACGATTTTTTTTGGTAAATAAAAATCGCTTATGTATATCATCCGTTTGGTGGACGCAATGAGGGATAATTCTTTGTTGTTTTTTTTTTTCTTCTTTCGGTTCCTTTGCGTCTTTTTCTTCTTCTCTCAAATTGTGTGCGGCTTATGCTGTTGTTGTGCGTTTTTTCGGACATGAATTTGCTCAAGCAATGGCCATTAAAACGAAATGGAATGAAAATAGAGATAAAAGATTGACTTTGCAATCGTTTCAACCGTTCACATTGATATGCATGGTTTGTTGTTTTTTTTTTCGCTCGCTGCATGAACCGGGCAACTCTTGCAAATGCAGTCGATAATCTATGATTTTTTACTCATTTACACTAGCAGCAATGCATTTTTAACCATGATAAAAAAACACACAAAGTGGTATTTCATCTCCAACTGTTCTGCTTGCACATTTCGCAGTACACTTTATCACTTAAATGGCATTTTTTTTTGTTTTGCTTTTCAATCGTTATTTTTTTACTTCTCTGCTCTACTGTTATCCATCTAAAAGTGCACCTGATAGCAGAAAATGAAAAACAATTACGTAAATTTACATCGGAAGAATGTTATTTGGTTTAGACAAAAATCAGATATTTTGTATGACCACCAAAAGTATATTCTCTAAGCTTCAGTAATCAACTTTGTGTCACATGTTTTTCCATTAAATTATCATCATCATATTATTATTATTATTTAAATTTGGCAGTCATATGAAGCGACCGAATTAATACGAATTGTCAAAGAATGCAATAGAAACTGATAACCGATAATGCTGTTTCGGTGTGATAATTTGATAGACTCAAAATCAAAATAGAACATTTCGCTAAGTCACTTTCAGTATTGCGTATACACCAAACAAAAAAATGTTGTGCGACGATTTTTCATCAATGTTTAGAGATAGTATTTTTCATAGTTCAAGGCCCTTCAAAGAAATTTTTAACAACAAAAACAACACTCAATACGATCGAAACAACTTTCTTGACCTATGCTAAACGTCCTATCACCAAACGCATAGTCTTTCACTCAACAAAATTTCATTCCAAAAATAGCCAGAAAGTTTTGCCTTCTCATCGATATTTTTTTTTTCATCAAAATTCAAATGCAAAACTATTTTATGTGATGCCATTTATAATTTACTTTCTTAAATATATCTTTTATTCATGTATTAAAATTTGATCAAAATAATATAAGAATTGTATAAAAATGCGTCAAATTAATCTTTTTTCGCGAATTAACGAACAAAAATGTTTGAATTCTCAACAATTTTTTTTTTTTTTTTTTTTTTTTGAAAAAGTAAAACGATTGAGATCTCGAATCTAAGATGAAAAAAGGTGATTGAAAATGTTTTTTAAAATCATTCGAAATATTTTCTATCAGTAAAAAACGTGAGAAAAATTTATCCCTTCAATTTCAACTGATTTTCATTCACAAAATTAAAAATGATCAGACATTCGCAAATATTATTTGTGATTTTGTAATTTATTTAATATTTTAACCTATGAAATGTTAGCTACAGGCGAAAGTCTATCGTTGCAAAATAATGTATAGAATGAAACGGAATAAGGCAATGAGATGTGCTGTGCTTTATGAACGTAAATTTTTAGGTAGAAATTGGTGCAATTTCAAGTCAATTGCTCCATATAATCACATTGAATGGGTGAATGAAAATGTTGAAATAAAAACAATGTTGAAAATGTGCTAATGAAAGTTAATCCCATTTTTGTGCATTATTTTGATATATGGATGCGATATACCCATTCATTGTCCAAAATATTGCAATGCATGCAAACACACATTTATATTGGTCAAAAGGAAATGTTATTGTATTTCCAGGCTAATAAAAAAAGAGAATTTATTCATTCAGTCCGAGCTCTGACGATTGTAAAATCATATAAATATTGAGAGCAAAAGGAGAGACAAATGGGCAAGAATAGAAGTGCAAACACATTATGTTAATGATAAATCACTAAACTAAAATATACGGGGTGGATATTTTCCCAGGTAGAAATGTGCAATGGTCAAAAATCCAATGTTTAATTAGAAAAAATCCAGAGAATAACCACTGCGGAATGAGCAAATATTAATTAGAAAAATGTATGAAAATATACTTGGAAACGTCAATTTCAAAAAAAAAAAAATCATTTTTTATTCGGTCTATTTCAATCCTAAAAATATTGCTATCACAACTACTACTTTGGTTTGCTCCGAAATATTCGTTTGGTTTTTGTTCATTTTATAAAATTGAAAACAAAAAAGTATTGATTGTTTTGATTCTTGTGCTTTGCTCAGTCAAAATGCGATCAGTTTTTGTTTATGATCTGTTTTCTTTTCTGCTTAGAAAAGTGCATTTACGACGTGCAATATTCATGACTCTTTTTGCAAAAAAATTTTGCGTGCATTTGGTGTGCTAGTTTTTCGATGCATTTGCTTTACATTTCTCTTTACCTGCCCTGTGTTTTTTTAAACTCGTTCCAAATGTGCCTATTCTATGATTTGCATATCGCTATAAAGTATTGCAATTGAATTTTATGAGATGCAATTGGTTGTGTCCGAATTCTTTTTTCGTGTCCTTTTTCCGATATATGAATGAAGGAGACGAACAGAAAAGTGTCTCTTGTATTTAAATGATACGCTTTTAACAAGATTAGAACGATTTTTTTATGGTTTTATTACAAACTGTCCATTGTCCAATTCATTGGATTATCGTTTCGTTTGCAGAAATTCTCTTCTTTAATGAAGTTTCCTTGTTTTCTATGATACGTGTACGTGCGTATATCACTCTGTGTAGTTGTTTTGTCGTTTTTCGGCACTTTTGTTACACATTTTACATGTTTTCACCTAATCGTTTGAAATTCTGCGAAAGCCTGTTGCGTTGCTCTTGCACCGAAGTTACATATTTTCTAATAAAAAAAAAAGAAATGAAAAATGAAATCAATTGAATAAAAAATATTGTACTATGACATTGAAATTTTTTCAAAATGGTATGCATTTCAATAGTATGGGTGATGGTGATGATTGATCACAAGTAGTTATATCATACATATATAAAAAATTGAATGTCGTGCAAAAAATGACGATTTGGTGACAATCGATGATATTCAAGTTGAAAAGTGTCGTGAAAACGTGATCATCAAAATACGGTCAAAATAGCAAACGCAAAAAAATGCGAAGGAGAAGCCTAAAGCCAAAGCACGTTTCAAAATCATTCGATAAAAATTCAACGGAATCTATAAATGATTGCGTACACTGATTAAACATATACACACATACATTTCCAATCTCTCTCTCTTTCTGCAGAGGTTTTTTTTGTTGATATGTCCGAATAAAGTGAAATTTGTGTTGCTGCTACTATTGTTAGAGACGTAAACCGTGCACGTAAGATTGAATCCTCGGTGCGTCCATCAAATGATGATGAGAGTGAAATAGATTGTATGTGTACAATGTACATACGATTGATACATACAATGTTGGCCACGCACATACTTGTACATAAATTCGATAGAATGCGCCATGTACACGCCACGATGGACTGCGTAAATTGCTACGCCGTGTACAAAATACACAACAGCGCTATTTATGTGTATGGCGATGAGTTCGTCCCGCTTTAGTGTGAACGAGCTAGTGTAAATTTCTGCTTATGTCAATGTGTATGTGCATGCGTACGAATGCGAATGTATCTCTCTGTTCCTTCTGTGTTTATGTACTTCCCTGTTTCAACCGACCGTGTAGAAGAAGAAGTGCAGAGAAAAATGTGAAGCAAACAGTTTCTTACTCCGTTTCTGTTGCTTTTGTTGTTGCTGCTATTGCTGTGTTATTGTTGAATGTTATTGCGAGGACTATTGGTCGTACAACGATATTACTAGGTGCAGGTTTGGAAAATAGCTCAGTCGTGTTTCGGCATTGAGTTGGTTCGCATACTGAGGCACGGAGTTTCATTTTTGTATTTTTATTCGTTTTTTCCGTTTCAACATTTTTTTTTATTCCACTCAAAACAGTGTGGAAAGTAAAAAGTGTTCAATCGAATTTCAAACACAACATTTTTGAACAATCAAACCATAGTACAAACTAAGTGACAATTTTTCATAGCAAATTTAAAAAAAGAAAAGAAGAAAATAGAAACGAAACCAAATAAAAGACATTTAAGTGTTTTAATAAATAGATTTTATCGCAGTATTTTTGGACATCTAAACATTGCCATTTTTACCGCATAAGCATCTAACACAATGCAATAAGGATAATTAAAAAAAAGACATTTTTTAAGAGAGATAAAAAGACAATCAGTGAACTTTTTTTTTACCAAAGACACGAAAGCTTTTTTGATAATAACAATCAAATTATGAATATGGCAAGAAGCATCAAGTGAACTGAAATTAGTGAACATTTATTAGAAAATTTGACGAAATTATCAAGAAATCAAGTTCTTGTTGAAGAATATCAAAATATAAAATCAACAATCATGTCAATGTCAGCGCTGAGCCTTTTAGATCCACAGACTGCAAGAAGTAAGTTTTTTTTCGCAGAAATTATTTTATAGATTTGTTTGCGCGACAAAAGTAATTTTCCATTCGAAGAATGATTTTCATGAGTTTCCCTTTCGATTCCGATCAATTTTTTCATAACACCACCAAGTGGATATTACCTCTTTGTAGGCCAAAATTTTCTAAATAGCACAACGGTTTTATCCAATTTGTAAAATAAAAATAGTTGTATGAATTTTTAGATTGTTTTTTTTTTCGCAAAATAATTTTCCTTCAAAAATTTGCAATTCCAAAAGTTTTTGATTTTTTTTGTCTTCTAAAAAATTCTTTCTAAAACCGTAAAATATAGCACTTTCACCAAAAGAAAATGTTAAATCCAATGCCTAACAAAACATTTTTTTTTTTTGTTCTTCCCCATCATTTCAGATGCAGCTCTTGCATTTCAAGCTTCAAATTTATTTGCGAATATTAATATGAAGCATGAACATGATGAATTAAACAAATCATCACCGTTATCACCAGCATCATTGGTTGGTGCGACATTACCAAATGCTGGTATGCACGAAACATCCAGTTTATACTCAGGTCTTACATCGATCGGTATGCTAACACCGCAAATGTTTGCTGCCAACCAAACTGCAGCCGCATTACTTTCAAAACTCTATCCACATCCATCGTTTTTCCCATGGCAATTGCCCCCAATGGCTGTTGCATCACCGCCAATTTCACCCATTTCACCTGCGCTCAGCGTAAAAAGTGTGAAAAAATTGAACAACAACAATAACATCGTATCAACGACAACCAGCGAAGAGCTAACAAATAACAATTACAAATTAAATATACACGATGATTTAAAAAGTCACACCGACCATTTACACAGCAAAACTAGTTCAATTATCATAAATAAAAAGTCGAAAAATCGAAAAACCGTTAACAACTACAAACAAAAACGTAATCAAATTTTATATCAACCGTACACGAATTTAGAAACATCGCCGATGAGTGGTTGTGGAATTAGCCCTGGTCCAATAAGTCCACCAACATCCGGTTCATCACCACAGTCAATTGGTTCGATGGAACATCAATCACCATCATCGTCATCAATTCGTACTACACCAAATAAAGAGCCAACCCGTGATAAATCGTTCACATGCCAAACATGTAACCGATCATTTGGCTACAAACATGTACTACAAAATCATGAACGCACTCACACCGGTGAAAAGCCATACGCGTGTGCAATTTGCAGCAAACGTTTTACACGCGATCATCATTTGAAAACACACATGCGTCTACATACTGGCGAAAAACCGTATCATTGTGACCATTGCGATCGTCAATTTGTGCAAGTGGCAAATTTGCGACGTCATTTACGGGTGCACACTGGTGAAAAACCGTACGCATGCGATAAATGCAAATCGAAATTTAGCGATTCAAATCAATTGAAAGCGCATATGGTAATTCATCAAGATGAAAAACCATTCCGATGCGAAACATGTAACGTTACGTTCCGACGCAGTCATCATTTGATGAATCACAAATGTACAACAAGTCCACTAACGCCAGCCATGTCACCGGTTATGTCGATTGACAATAAATCAATCGCATCACGTTCGGATGCCAGCCAAGAAGAGCTACTTGATTTGAGTACACAAAGTATGGCCATGTTGAAGCATTTAAATCTTAGCCATCACGGTTATCCGGCCGTAATGGCAGCGAGAAAATTGCCAACACCAATCGAACATGAAATGTATGAACACATTGCCAAAGAAAGTGAATATTGTGACGCACAAGATATGCCATTAGACTTAAGCATTGATAGTAATTCGGACAATGGCGATAAACGCAGCAAATCATCAACATACGCGATGTCGGTTTGATCTGATGATGATCAATAAAAAACAAAATAATGACATGAATCACCGTTGATCGTCGATTGAAATGACAACACAGATACGGTTGAAATTAATTCAGTCAGAGCATCAACAGCCGTGCTGTTGTCGAATTTTACTTAAAAACCTAGAAATGAAACCATTTAAGAAAACTTGTGTTGAACGTTCGTAACGTAAGTAACTGTTTTCAAAATTGTTTTGAAAGTCATATGATCAAATAGATTGAGATAGATTCGACTTATATCTAAGGTGCAGAATTTACCAAATGATTCGAATCAAAGAATTTGTTTAGTTCAGCTTATTCTTTCATTTCACATTCTCGTGCATAAATTGAAGAGAAATCATTTTTTAACAGCAACCAAATGCGTGTGAAATTTTCGAATCATAGAACTGATCATTGACCGTGCAATTTCGACTCTTTGTTAAAAAAAAATAGGAACGTTTATATATTTTTCGTTCTTCTTCTGTTTTTTTGTTTGTTTTATTAGAACATCACTTCGTCGTTTGTTTCGATCATCATATATTGATGATGAGCATCAAGCGCGTACCGTTTTGTTAAATTCTGCACCTTTCAGTTAAACATAAATTTTCGTTTTAAATGAAGCGTTATTATTTTATTTTGTTTAGTTTTTTTAAAAAAAAGGTAGAAACAAAAAAGTAAGAAACATTTTGTTTGATTGTTATTTGCGGGCGAGAAACAAAAATTGTACACCAAAAAGTCACGGTCAAAACAGTCTGAATGAATGTGCAGACAATTTAATTTAGTAAGCAAAATCATTCAAATACCCATAACCAAATAAAAAAAAAACACCTAAAAAATCGATTTATTAAATTGTACAATCTCTAGTAAAGGAAAATAAAAAAGAAGAAGAAAAAGTCTTGAAAAAAAATCACGTCTTAGTGTTTAAACGGTCGACTGAAATTGGCCAAAAAATTCTGTCTAATCATTAGTAAATTTGTAAGTGAAAATAGTCTCTTTCGTTATATAATCAATTTTTTGTAATTAAATCCGTTTGATCAAATGTTGACGCCAATTATTGATATGGTAACAAATGTGAACAGTGCATCTACTGCACCAAGACCATATCTTTGAAGTCGAATTGTTTCATTTGCCAAAAAAAAAAAAAACAAACGGATTGATTGGACCTACACATTTTTTGATACACAAAAAATGTAAATTTAAGGAAAAAATCATTTCTGTTATGGAAATAGGTTTAGACAAATATTTAAAAGAAACAACCACAAAATGATCACATTCACATATATGCAAATTCACACCAGAGCGAAAATCTATATCAGGGATAAATATAGCTGAAACAATTTATACACAAATTATATATATACAAATGATGAACATAAAAAAAAATGAATGAAAATGTCTTTATTGAGATAAAATAGATGAATATATTATGTAAGACGATTTTTTTTCACTTTTCATCTCTCGTCCTCTCGTAAAACACGTTTAATATTCATATTTACATGTAAAAGTTCTATTTTTTAAAACAAAAAAAAACTCAATAAAAAAATAACAATCGATTACCGAAAACACAACATACAACAACAACAAAGAACAAAACAAAGCAAAATATTGATGATGGACTACGAATGAAACTATTTAAATTAAACACTTACATTTTAAAAAAGTAAAAAGAATCTTTTGCCATAATCGAAAATATTATATATATATTGTATATGTGTAAATGTCATTTAATGCATACAAATGGTGTTTCATTATTTTATTTATTCCACATTAATGTATAACAATGAGAAAGATAGGACAAATTATATATTGTACATGATCAATTTGAAATCGTAATAACAAAAAAAAGACACAAACATACACTTTGCCAAAACAACCCGTACATTTAAATTGACAAATGAAAAGTTTATTCAATAAAATTTCAATTTCATTTTAAAACAAACAAATCCGTTTCGATTATTTTTACTTCATATCAGCGATTTTTTTGTTTATTTTACAGCATCATGTCTTTGATTTGGTAAGTCTTTATTTCAGAAAGAATTGTCCAGCTCTATCGTTTGGTCGATTGATAGAAATTTGTTTCCGTTCATTGAAATATCTGCAATTGTACTCTGATTCTATGAATTGGTTTGGTACGCATAACAAAATCGTAACAACAAGCAATATTTCATAAGTATTATCAAAATTCTTTGAATCTAATATGCTCAATATTCGGTTAAAAATATCTTTTTTCAAATATAATCGAAGACTGCTTAGACACATCAATCCAATCTTGATTTCTTGAAAATCTTCCTTTTTTCATCCATTTCTCGTTACTTTGCCAATCGTTCGCGATAAATCTTCTTTTAGAATTCGCGCTAAAACACGCTTACACCCATCGAATAATGGATTTTTATCACCTTATTATAACGTTCAACTAATCAATTACCAGTTATTACCGACCAAATTACAATCGAATGAAAAAAATCCAAAACAAAGAAACATCCTATAGGAAATTGCTCTTTTTTTACATGAATTTTGATCAAATATCGCATGAGAAAAAAAACGGACAATAATTAAAATTCAGTGTCAACGGTGAATATTTGAAATTGGGAAATTTTCCAAAAACGATGACACCAAAACCAGTCCAATGTAATCAGTTCAATGTTTAAGTGTAAATATAGACTGCAGATAATATAGTGTATAAGCAACCGGATTTTTAAGCAGCAAGTTCAATATATATTTGATTATTACCATTTGTTGTGTTCATATCAATAATCAACATTGTTCAAATGCATAATTTCCATCGCTATTTTGCCTTTCGTGAGTAATTGTGTATTTTGTTCTCTCTCTGTGTGTGTCTCTTACTCCTCTCTCCATCTCAAAAATCCAAAGTCATTATTGGTTTGCGGCTATGATAACCGACAATGTTTGAAAACAGGTTAAAAACAGTAAAGCATTGCATTTAAACAACAATTTAAGAGATTTAGCATTCGATGTTAAAAAAAACATTCTTATATTTGGCCGAAAGCCACAAAATTAATCCAGTTTTTTTAAACACCGAACACATCAAAACAAATTTCATTTAGAAATAATGTTAGAGAATCAAATCAATTCAATCGTAATTAGGCATTGTTTTTTTTTTCTTTGTTGTTCGAGACAGGATTGCTATCACATTCAAAACAAAGGCATATTTACATTTTAACCAAACGACCATACCGAATCGATTCCATTTTGAAACGTTTTGCTGGTTTTGTTATCAAATACCAAAACACTTGTGATAGGTCACACAGTATACTAATAACGATGCTGGAAGACGTGCATAGTTAAACGTAATTAAGTGCTGTATGATTCATTGACATTACGATTCTTTATCTCTTTTTCACCCAATATTTCCACCGTATGCAGTAAAAATTTCCCAAAGTCCATGATCAAATGCAATATACCAGAATTTGCTCGTCAGGTGAAACAAAATTGAACGTGCATTCAAAGGAAATTCTTTTGGACGAGACGTTTGTCATGCCATCTCGCCCCAGTAAATCCAAAATTTCGTTAAACTCTCACATTTTGGTTCATTCAGAATCGTTCGTTCAGAACTATGATAGAGAGTAATGTATGGATATGACAAAAACAAAGGCAATAATGTGTCTAAATCTAGTTAACAACCCATTATTCGTACATCCGACCAAATTCATTCAGATGATGAAAAGGAGAATGAAAGGAAAAAAACTCCAACTGAGGATGAATATGGGAAAAACGAAAGCAAGTGATAGAAAAAGAGAGAGAGGGAGAGAGAAAGAGGGCAACTCAATGAAAAGTAGTGCAAAATTGCATATCATAAAAATAGTTTTTGCACATTCATTTGGCAAAAATGTTCCGAAAGGTTTTACTATAGGGTTCATTCAAACAATGGTCACCAAATGAAGTTGGACACCAAAACGAGTTTAAACAAACATTTCGACTCGTTTGCCAATATTGAAAATGGAGAAAGATAAACAAAAACGAAGTACTAAACAAACAGAAACTTTAGACCTCAGAGCAGGTAAGAACTGGCCAAAGTGAATTTAGCATTGGGGAAAACACAGTTCGACCAAAAACAAAAACGTTCCTATTATTTTCGTCCTAATTTACATACAATGCAACTACAGATATATATAGAAAATTATTTTTCGATTTTATTACAAAGAAACGTGCATAATTCCTTAAATAAACAACGACGATTTAAAGATTGATTGCTCTGTCTCTATATAAAATGTGACGAACAAACAGGTATACTGCTTTTTTTGTAAAATAAGCGAATTTTTCAACTGAACGTGGTAGATCTTGTGTCGAAAAGTGTAGTGAACGGGCCAAAAATAATGAGTGCAAAGAGCATGCAAATTTTCCCGTCTCCATTCAAAAATGAAATACTATGGACATTATGATGCTTTATTACTCGAAATTAAATATCGTTTGATTTAGTGCTTTTACTTTAACAAAACTACCTGCTCTCGGTAAGCGCGTGATGTACTCGGACATAGAGGACAAATAGAAGTGGACAAATCGAAATCCAATTATTGTTTGCATAGTGTTTGTTATAGTCTGTTCATTTCGGTAATTTTATGCTAATTAGCTTTACTTTTAGTTTACGTTGAGCTGTGCTGTTGGCCTTTTTTTGTTCTTCATGTCTATGGAAATTGAATATTTTTTCAGTACGTCGTCATATTCATAAATGGATTAGAATGACAATTTTTTTTTTGTAAACCCTATCATTACAAATTTTCATTATTGTTCATAACAACAGACATACTCAGTGTAATCCTTTCATGAATGAAACTTCAATTGTATTTACATACTGTGTATTGTTTTGACAAGTGTAATTCATACACTAACGGGAGAGTGATTAAAATTCACAATTCCATTCAAATTTCACATTTTGTTTGTCATTGAGAAGTACAAAACATTTGACAGACTGCACACTGCAAATGGAAATTTTCTGCTCTTGTTTTTCTAATGTTTTATTTGCTCTAAGGCAGACAAACAGCGTCAAATATGTCATACTGATAAAGCGGATGCACCTTTTCCAACACTAAATTGAAAAGAAAAAAAAACATTAAAGATGAACGAAAATAGACAGGAGATAAGAGAAAAAAAAATGTGTTAATGCTGTTTCATTCAAAAAAGCAGAAAAAAGTCAGCTCAAAACGGTCGTTAATAAAAATCGGCGCGCGAAATATGCTCAGGTGCATTCATAATCATGGCCGCATTTAAAATGTTTATCCCGAAACAAATGGTTTTGTTTATACATCTTGATGTTTTGGCCCAAACACTGCTCCCAATGTTTGTTCCTGTGCACTTGGACTACTTTTGGACAAGCATTTTGTAATATCAAGGACTGACGTTTTTTTTCCCTTGAATGAATCAACAATAACCAAAGCAAAGAAAAATGAAATCTCTTGTTAAATTCACTCTCACTGTCTTCCATCTACATGCCGATGATACTCATATTTTTCATAAAAATCAGCATAAACATCGTTCAAATGGATCAAAAACTTTTCACATTAATTTATTCAATGTATTTGTTTTGGTCATGTGTGTCATGTGAGGCTGTGTGGATTTATTCCACTTTTTACCTGACCACTTCGTTTATCAACCGTCTTTTTTATAGCACAAGCTGTTAGTAAAATGCGCGTCAAGTAAATCTATTGCAAACAATACAATATTATTGAAAATGATGTAACAATAAATTAGAACGAATGGTGAGAATGAATGATTGAATTTGTCGTCGACGTTGATATTGTTCAAATGAAAGGGTATATTTGTTACGACTTATTTACGCTGGTTATTTTCATTCGATTGTATGAAAGCATCGCAGCAGCAGCCAAGCAATCAACAATAACAATTGAAAATATATAGTTCATATTTCGGTACTCTTGGTGCAGTTTTTGGCACAACACAAACACACATCATAAAAACTAACCCGATAATTATGTTTCAATTCATTGTGACAGTGACATGTTCAAGAGATAGCGTTTTAAAAAACGAGCGAGAGAGAACGAAAAAGAGAGCGTCGAAACAAAGAGCAAAGGCATCAATGATCACCGTACATTTATTGTCTTGCTTTTTTGTTTTGTTCAATCTAAAAACGACCGAAAAAATAACATTAGTTTCACATCGATCATACTGAAGTATGGCCATTGTGTATACACATAATGTGCAATGTTTGTGTGCGTGCGCGCG